AGAAGAAGAAGAAGAAGAAGAAGAAGAAGAAGAAGAAGAAGAAGAAGAAGAAGCAGAAGAAGAAGAAGAAGAGATTAATTTAACACTGCTATCTCACCCATGAGACTAATGTTCATGCTGTCTTGAAACCCTTGCTTGGCAAACACCACAATGTTGATGACGTTGGTCAGCACACCGAGTAGACTGAGAAGACCACAGATGACCACAGAGTTGGTCACCTCGTCGCTAAGTATGTCTGTTGACGAAAGACTAGAACCTGTGGTTGTCGCCATTAACGCGGTCTCGTTCCCATCAGGAGAATAAACCTCTTGATTAGTCCACAACCTAGATAATGGCATTTTGGCTTGAACGTGCGCTTACGACTTATCAAATACAATATACTGGTAGATCTACATGTACTGGCTTACCTCTTTACAAAGACTCTCTATTTTTTTTAAACCCCGCCCTAACCTATCGTGTACAGAATATGGAATAAGTAGCCTTTATTCAATGATAAAGAAGATCTCTTTTAAGGTCTACCCTTCCCCAAGTTCTGTATGTTCCATACGCGCGAGAATGTTCAGTTATAATATTATTCAGGGTTTCTCATTATGTTTACTTTTGAAAGATCTTCAAATTTAAATACACGTATCTCGCCATTGGACCTAATGGGCTTGCTCTGTATTTGTATTTAAGTACATTTTCCCCCTGATAAAATCATAACATAGTTCATTTAATTAAGGAGATATTTAATGCGAATAATATTGCAACTCGTATAGGAATAACATAACTGTCAAGATATTAAAGCATTCCGCGCGCTTTGTCTTTCTGTTTGAGATATGATGTCATGTTAATTATATATGACACCTTCATTTCAGTTGCCTCAAGCCCTGGCGTTAAATTATTGCACGTGTTTGTCAGGCATTATTTAGTCGATCGTCTGATACAAGTAGCCATGCGCGCTTCACGTTTGCAAGTAACTATCTGATGTTTAACTTTTAAAACTTTTTCATCCTGGTGCCATTAATAAAGCGTCGATGCTTTTCTTACGTGGTAAATAATTATACAGGTTTCATCACAGACTCACGATTCGATGAACCCTCTTGTCCGACATAATCACTCAATATCATCTGTTACGTTCATTATGGGGAAAAAACGTGATAGCTTATCTTCAAATCATGATCATGTACGTGAACAATATGGATTGGGAAGAGTAGTGTCTTTCATTCTTTGTATGCATTTCACCTAGGTTTAGATTTACTCTACGGTGTGTGTCTTTGTTCGTGACAAGGATGAGCTTTGATTGCTAGTTTGACATTACTGGGTGTTTCATATAATTAGTATTACCAGTATTGTTTGTAGCTTTCTGTCAATGTTCAAAATACTTATTAAGTTGACTCGAAAAACTGTACATGCATACATTCGACGAAGAATGTTAATAAGGGGGTCGAACAGCTAGTTTGTTGGAATATCCACTCCTCTTACACATAAGTATAGATCAACCCACCCACCCACCGCTCGCAAAAATTGCATTAATTTTCTAGACTGTCTTTCTATGAGTAAAATTACTTGGCGTAATAAAGTCTTTTACGCAGTATGAAAAGGAATCTAATCATTTTAAAGGATTAACTACGTACGCTTCGTTTTTGTTAGTGTGGTACTGGGTAATTGTTTGATGTTCTTATGTGCCTACATGTTTAGCCATTCTTAAATGCGGGTGTCTACTCTGGTCCAGAAAGCACAGGCCTATCTTAGATGGTCACGCTGGTTTTATCTGAGAGAGTCTGCACTACTTTGTTGGTCTTACACAGTAATGTGAAGAGGCGCAGAATGTCTGTTGCAGTGGGGACACTGGAATGTCGTGGTTGCGGTGGTTGGATTATGTCTCCTCTCTCTTCTGATAGTCAGTTTCTCTCTGAAATTGATATCGCTGTTTTTGCTGGCAAGACGGACGGCCCTGCGCCAGGCGTTTCTTTCGGTGGCACTTCTTTCGACTTCTTTGGGGGTAACCTGTGCAAACTGGAGGTTTGCCTTTATCGTGTCTTTGAATTGCTTTTTTGGCATCCAGAGATTTCTTTTGCCACTTGCGAGTTCGCGTACAGCAGTTGTTTTGGGCATTCGGTAGTCTTCCATGGGGATGACATTGCCAGCCAAGCCATCTCAGTTTGGCTTTGACAAGCATGCTTTCTATGCTTTGTGAGGTTGATCGGTTGAGGACCTCAATGTTGGTGATGCGGTCTTGCCAACGGATGCCAAATATGCTGCGGAGAGCCCTTTGGTGGAACTGCTCTAATTTGTTGATGTGATTCCTGTAGAGTGTCCAGGTCTCGGAACCGTAGAGGAGGGAGGGGAGCACAACGACTTTTATTTGTACACTTTGATTTTTGTTCGCAGCCGGGCATTGTGCTGGTTTAGTACCTTCTTTTTCAGCCTACCGAGAGCTTGGCTGGTTTTGACTGTTCGTGAATCAATTTCCTGATCGATGGGGCCGTCTGCAGAGATGATACTTCTAAGGTACTTAAAGTTCTTGGTGTTCTTTAAGCTGTTGCCATTGATAGTGATATTTGGAGACAGTGGGTTAGTTTGTGGGGCAGGCTGGTGAAAAACTTCAGTTTTCCCGATGTTTATTGTAAGCCCAAAAAGCTTTGAAGCTTCTGCGAAGTGATTGAACATTGTTTGCAGGTCCGCTTTAGAGTGAGCATTCAAGGAGCAGTCATCGGCGAATAGTGCCTCCTAAATGAGTTTTGTGCTGGTTTTTGTCTTGGCTTGCAGGCGATGTAGATAAAAAAAAAGGGAGCCATCCAGGCGGTAATTTAAATATTATCCTTGTCCAATCCTTGCATGCGTGGGAAAGCATGGCGGTGAAGAAGATATTGAAGAGGACTGGTGCCAGGACACAGCCTTGTATGACGGCATTTGAAATTTCGAATTTGTCAGTCATGTTGCCACTTGCAAGAACTTGCCTACTCATGCCTGTGTGGAAGAGCTGGATGGTCTTTAGGAATTTGGAAGGGCAGCCAATCCATCCTAGGACAGTCCACGGGGTTTCTCTGTTGATCGTGTGGAAATCCGTGGTACGGTCAATAAAGACTGAGTAAAGAGGCATATTCTGTTCAGTGCACTTTAAAAAAAATTGTCTTATATAGCAAAGATCGTGTCCACAGTGCTTCCCCCTGGCCTAAAACCACTCTGAGCCTCTGGTAGGTTCTTTTCTGAGATGGTTATCAGTCTGTTGAGGATAACCCTTGCAAAATATTTTCCCTGCTATGGAGAGAAGGGAGATGCCCCTGTAGTTACCACAGTCCGCTTTACTGCCTTTGTTCTAGTACAGCGCAACTATGAGCGTGTCTTTGAAATCTGCAGGCATTTTCTCTTCTTCCCAGACCTGTAGCAGGATGTCATGGAAGGTTTCCAGAGCCGAAGGGCTTGCTGCCTTGAAGATCTCAGCCGGAATGCTGTCCTTTCCAGAACCTCTGCCGGAGTTGGTCTTGCTTATTGTCTTTTTTTATTTCATCTAGAGTAGGAGGAGCTTCTAGGTCCTCCAGGGGTGGTTGCTGGAGGATTTGATTGAGAGCATCTTGATCAACAGTGGAAGGTCTGTTCAAAAGGGGGCTGAAATGCTCGGTCCAGCGCTTGAGGAGCCTTTCTTGGTTCTTGATCAGGGTTTTGCCATCCGAGGACAACAAGGGAGAACATCCTAAGGTTGACCTCGTAAGAATGACCGGATGGCTTGGTTTGATGGAATACATCGCGCAAGTGCTGGAACGTCATGTCTTACCCTTTTTTCGTCAGAGTGTCAATCAAGTAGACATCCCTATGCATAGCAAAGCGCTTTCTCACAGGGCCAATGCCACTAGACAATTCTTGGAAAACCAAATCAAATCAACTTTGGAGTGGTCATCAATAAACAGCCCCTGTATAACATGTATGTGAAGTCCCATGAAACAACAAGAACTGAAGAAAAGCGACTTTGCTCCCAATTCAGACCCTTTGTTTGCAACTCTCTGTAATATTTGGGATGAAATGACAGATAATTATGTCCAAAATTTAAAAGAGTCGATGCCCAAAGGGTTCGTGCACTAAACAAAACCAATGGCTCCTAAGCAAAATAACAATGAGTGCGTCTAATGTTAAGTCCAAGTTGTTCGTGGTATTCGTAAATG